CGTTCGGCAGTCAAATTTGAATTGCTGATTCGTTTGAAGCATTTCTGCAAAGCTCGCTTAGCTTCAGTTTCATGTAAGCTTATTCTAACTTACCACTTTACAAATTTTCTGAGAATTTCTCAATTTTCTGAAAAATGCTTAAACGGGAGCTTTGTTTGTGTATGTTCGTGATGCTGAAATACCTGGGCACATTCCTCGGTGGTGAGGCAAACCTGCACGGTGCAGTGAGCGAATACAGTTGACTGGTTGCCAAAGCGGAATGTCTTGAACTTAGAAAAGTAAACCTCTTCGTTGACATTGGCCAATGGATCAATTATTTCACTCATCTCGTCCACCGGGCAACTGGAACAATCAAAGCGGTGACACAGTTTACGTAGGCCTAACTTACGCAGAAATGAAGATGAAAATTTTCTTTTAAAGAAGCTACCAAACCGCAGAATTAGTTAAAAAGTATAGTCATCAAGTTACCAAGCAAAACAAAAACACTACTGTCACCCTCATTTCCTTAATGGGGTGAGAAGTAGTGCAGTTAGACCGGGATACATTACCTTTTAAAAACACCAAAAAAGCATTTCTGTAGTTTCGACTGTCCGGATAATTCTGCTTCGAGTTGGTGATTTAGGTTTTCACTTCCACCATACCTCAAGACCACATCTCTAAGGAGTTCGAGGAGACTACTCACTTTTACTCATTTTCATCCTGCGGCAAAAACTATTCACCGTAGCTTTCTACAGAGGTTATCTTTCGACTGTGAAAGTTATGATACAAGAAGAAGGTGACCTGCTTTGGACAAATGTCAGATGCTTAGCGTCCGGCGAAGTCATGTCTTCGCGATCGGAAAACATGCATTCCTTGGGGCTGATGCCACGATATGCTTCTGTAATTACCGCTCAATAACCCTTTAATCCGGCTTCTTATGTAGGATTATAAACAGCATTATTTTGCATATGTGCAGTGTAAAAAAAAAACAAATTAGTGAGAGGTTATGTATATGTTTGTATAAATGTGGGGGTTCGTGAATGTGTGTATATGTGTGGGTATGAATATGCGTGTATGTGTGTGTGTGTTTGTAAAGCCTGTCCCCGCATATTTCGACCTTCAGACTTACGATATCTGTGAAGCTGAAGTTTTGATAGCTTGGTCTACCACCACTGCGGATAGGTCCCTTGGATCACGTTCGGGTAAGTGTATATAAAAATAGCTTTTGCGCTCCCCTCATCTCACGCATGATGCAGTTTTTGCAGTGGCGCTTTAACACTATGGAAACAAAAAGGACAAAAAAAATTTGGAATTTGATACGTTTTCCTAATCTTTTAATTAGAAGCGGCTGCCCAAAAAAACTGCGTTAGCGACAAAAATCTGTGGAGAAAATTATGCAAAAACATATGTTTGTACCTGCAATCCTAACATGCGCTTCTCTAGTGGTTTACCTACAGGACAGCATAAAGGGACGAGAAAACGAAACGTATGCTTTCGGAAATATCATGGCGAGAATTTCTGCTCCTTTTTTGAAATTCGATGCGTACAAAATGTTCAGTGAGGTGAAAGCGGTAAGAGCAAGGTCGTTTGTTATGGGTTTTTTTTAATGCTCATAAAAAGTGCGTAATTATGAGGTATGCTCTCCTCGATGCCACAAGCTGTTCGTACTCGGTAACAGAAGTTTCGTTTGTCCGTTATTTCCGAATCTCGAATTTCTCGGAAGCATATGAGCGTACACAATGATATTTCGGACGCTCGTGGCAGCGCTCGATCGCC